TGAAAATTGCCCACACGCATTGGGGGGCGCAGCGGGCATTTTCTTACCCTAAAACCCTCTCAGAAATGAGAGGAGGCCTGTGCCCAGCAGTGGGACATATAAGGCTGTAACTTTAACTAAATCTAAAATGTATATATAAAGTCACGTTATAAGTCGTTCTAATGTTACAAGTAGTTATCTAACGTGACAAAGTCACGATGATTTTTCACTGTGATTTTCGTAACCGAAACGATGTTCACGGTTATTTAAAAATAACCCTTTTCCCCAAGTCTCTTACGGCCATCCACGAGATGATATGGATATTCATGCACCGCCACTATAAGGTAATTGATAATTTCTGGAAACATTTTACTTATCGACGTCTTGCAATCGTTGTTTCTCTAGCGCTTACTTGACCTTCATACAAATAATTCAATATTTTAACTGTTGATATTTTTTTTATTTTAAGATAAAACATAGTAAAATGAATTGGCAAAATAACTCTATGTTACATTTCTTTTAAATTTATATATTTTCTAAAAAAATATTTTCCTTGTCTGACCATAGCTCTGACTAAGTTGGTCCAATAAAATGTCGGGGCCTGAGTTTTGATTTTGACTTTATTGTATCCTACGTTTAACTTAAACGATAAACCTCCGTCTTTAGGGCGAGATGTTGTGAACCGATGTACAAGATAGTAATTGCTATTGAAAAAATTATGTAAAGTATATAAAAGTGATTTTTCATAAAATTTAAGCAGTCAAACTCTAACCTTTGTTCGGTTAGTAGTAGTAGTAGTAGTATACTTTCTTGAAACTTATAAAATTTCGATGTGTGATTAAATTAGTCATGCAGCAGTAAAAAGTTTATTTTTTTAAAAGGACTCAAGGTGGGCCATCCTAACAGTACGTACACACGGCCGCACGACGCGCTATACATATACACTAGCAATGAAAGCTGACCACGGGACGCTTTGCGTGATTCGACCAATGGGAAACCCTATACAGGAAGCGCTTCGTGCGGGCATACATACATGTTTCGATGCCTTTAAATTGTACAAAAAATAAATTGACAGACGCCATTAGTGTTGTTCCCGTACACGGTGAAACGGCAACCTAAACCCTTTTCTCTTACAAACCGGCAGAACTTTTAAAAAATACGGTAATTAATGGAACTTGACACCATACAAACAACTACAATTTAAAAAATAATTATGATAATATGGCAGTTATTATGTTTTACTGAAAAATGCGGAAATTTTAGATTTTGTTTACCCTATTCATCATTCAACCTCTGAAGTGTTCGAATGCGTCCGTTGTCTATCTTTACAGTAGCAAGTGTTATTTGTTATATTTTCGTTGAGTTTTTTTCTGTTACTTTGCTATTTTTGTGTTAAGTTTTGTGATTTTGTTACATTTTTGTTTTCGCTAAACAGTTTATGATGGACGCTTAGCCTTCTACTTCGTCGCGTAGGCGTGATGAAGAAAATGTATCGCCAATAAAAAAAAGTAAGCTCATATCATACAGCCAAACGGAAAAATATATGATCATGAACGCTTACAAATGTATGAAAGAAAATCGAATATATTTTAAAAACTGCCGAAATACTTAACATATCCCGAGTTTCAATCTACAGGCTGCTGAAGGAGCACAAAGACAATGAAACTTTTTGATCTCCGAAAATACCTGGAGTTAAATACAACATCAAAGATAAATTGGACGATTTCACTCTTTCGGCTATACGTCTAAAAGTACATCTATAACTATAGTTCATATAATAATATTATTAATCATTCTAGGCCATACTGATAATAAGCACTGGGTGGACACCAATCGTCACGTCAGGCTTTCTTAGAAGGCCTAATCATTGGATTAAAAGGGCATTAAGGCAAGGGGAGACGACTAGTAGTGTCCCATGTTGGAAGCGAAGAGGGTTTTGTGGATGATGGTCTACTAGTATTTGAAGTATTTTTGACAAGGAGATGAATTCCGATCAATATGAAACGTCTTGCTTTCATATTGATGATATTGATGTATGATAATTAAGTTATTAGTTTTAGTTTTTTTTAATTATAGTTTTTTTTATAACGTATGTAATCATAATTGTATAAAGGTAATAAATATTAAAACTGGCTAAAAATATTCTTCTGAAATGAAAAGACAAAGCAGCGCTTGTTAGGTAATGCTCCATATCACACCAGGAAACTGGAATCGTTACCTACTTCTCTAGTTGGCGTAAAGGTCAAATTCAAGACTGGCTAAAATCAAAAAATATTCCTTATGAAGAGATAACGTTAAAACCCAAATTAATTGAAATTGCCCGAATGCACAAAAAGCTTATGAAAGGTATGTCGTCGACTAAATGGCTGCTGAACAGGGTGTCACTATTTTGCGACCAATTGAGTTGGTCTGGGCTGAAATAATGGGGCATGTTGCTAAAAATAATGAAAAATTCAAATTGAATGAAGTACGAACCTTTTTGAAGAAGGGCTTCGACAAGTGCCCCGCAGTGGTGGAAAGACTGTACATCATGTAATTAAAATTGAAAATAAAAAGTGTCAACTGGGCCATATAATCGACGACATTACTGACCGATTTATTATAGAAGTAGGTGGCGAGTCTGATGATTCAGAATATTCTTCAAACATGGAGTCATTATCTGAATCTGATTAATGTACCTGTAATTAATTAAGTTATTAAAATATATGTTTGACATTATATATATCTAAACCTTATTAATTTTCTATTGTTACGTTTTAAATAAGTACCTACACATTTTTCATGTGACACGATTCCGTTGCTGTAGAAATCTTGGGATTTTGATTAATCAAAAAAAATGCGACAAGTAGTTTTGACAGTCCTCTCTTGATGTTAACCTATCACTAACCAAAAAATTCTAAAGAGACCGAAATAGCTGAAAATCTGAGGGCGCAAGGTCAGGACTATATGGTGGATGCATTAACACTTCCCAACCAAGCTCTCTCAATTCTTGATGAGTGGCCAAAAATGTGTGTGGTCTGGCGTTATCATCATGACAAACCACTCCTTTTCTGTTAATCAATTCCACCCGTTTTTCTTAATTTCTTGCTTGAGCCTCTTTAGTTGTTGGCAGTAGAGATTTGTATCGATGGTTTTGCGACGCGGTAAAATCTCATAATAAACTATATTCTTTAGCGATGACCTTCCAATCCCACCCATACACACATGGTGATGCATCTTATTGCGTGTTAATCCGGGTTTCGCCTACAGTACAGGCTTGACTACCCTTTGACCATGATCTTTTTCGCACGTTCTTGTCGTAGTCGATCCACATTTCATTACCAGTGATCAATCTTTTCAAAAATGGTTCCGTTTCATTGCGTTTCAATAGAGAATCGCAAATGAGTACACGATTCATTAAGTTTCTTTCAGTCAGCTTGTGTGGTACTCAAATATCGAGTTTTTTTGTATATCGAAACTTTTAAATGGGTCAAAACTGGGTTGTGGTCAATCCTCAATTCCTCGGCTATGTCGTAATCACTAATATAACGATCTTGTTCCACTTTTTCAAAAATGTCATCGACTTTATCCGTATGAGGGCGACCAGAGAGAGCTGCATCTTTGACATCAATATTGTCTGAAATCAGACTGAAAACGCTTGAACCAACTTTGTGCTACTCTCACTGACTTTGCATTAAGTCCATAAACGTCACACATTTTACTCTTGGCTTGAGTCGCTTTCTTCCTTTTTTTGTAATAAAACTTCAGAACGTATCGAATTTCTTCGTTAGATTTACTCATTTTGGCGGACACAAAAACAATTGAAAAATGGCGGGAGTATTTTTTTATTTTTATTTTTCTTAATGTCTAACATGTATTGATATTAAAACCAGCCAAATACAGACAGTATACAACCAGTGAAATTTTTCTTCAATTTTATGCAAACAAAATACGAATAAACTTTTTCCTCGACCTATTATAACAGTCCTAGTCTGTTTTTTAGGGTTCCGTACCCAAAGGGTAATTAACGGGACCCTAATACTAAACCTTCGCTGTCCGTTCGTCTGTCTGTCTGTCAGCGGGCTGTATCTCATGATCCGTAATAGGTAGACAGTTGAAATTTTCACAGAATGTGTATTTCTCTTGCCGCTAAAACAATAAATAATAAAAATAAATGAAAAATTAAAGGGGGCTCCCCTACCAAAAACATGTTTTACGATGGTAGGAAACCCTTCATGAACGAGTCCGACTTGCACTCGCCGGTTTATTTTATCTCTGAGACTAAACTAACATTACGTGGGTTGCCAGTTTCTTGCAAATCGTAAATATTGATGTGCCACTATCGGAAGTTGGTATTAATAAAATCAAGTATCGTTTTTTTAATAATAAGTTATATATATATATATATATATATATATATATATATATATATATATATATATATATATATATATATATATTACAATTGAATGTAATTAAACTTTAAAAAATACAAAATGAACTTTTCCCCGAACGTTTATTTTTATTTTTATAGGATGGGGTGACAAACGAGCACACAGTCCACCTGATGGTAAGTGGTTACTGTGACCCATAGACATCTACATCTATCCTCAATAAAGACTCAAGATGCAGATGCGTTGTCACCCGTGAGGACTAAGATGGAATGCCTCTTTGTCCAGTAAAAAGGGTCTCCGGTTCTCTACACTCACCATACGAAACACAGCAGCGTTAAGCTGCTATTTTATTTTTATGACTGTATATGTATAAAGAAATATCTGCGTTGAGGCGATTACTAACTGGCAAATATTTGTATTTTACTACCTGTTATTGTTCCTTTGTATTATTTAAAAATACCTTTAACAAAAAAATCTCCCACAAAAAAGAAATTAACAAATAATATTATTAATTTATAATAAATAATATATATATTATAAAAAGGTCACGTCGGTCGTCAGTTCATCTGGCAACTAAGTAGTGTTATCCAATATACGCAGATGTTTTCTAAACGCGGCTATTAATAAGTTATTTTTGTTTATCGCTAGGAAGGCGTGAGCGGGGAATGGCGCGGAGCGTGGCTGATGTTGATTCGCCGTGTTCTGGTCTACTGCTCCAGCACTGAGTCGGGCGTGTGCACTGTAGACTTGAGGAAGACTAGATGCGTCGGTAAGCTTAAGCTTGTTCTGTAGTATCAATGATATTATTCACAAGAAGTCATACATTTTATATGTACGTGGCGGCAGAGCTACCATCTGTCCATCCATTACAGCCTATAAAAGTCCACTGCTGATCACAGGCCTCCACCTAGCTTGCCACGCTTGGTAGGCGGGTCGGCAATCGCAGGTTTTTATTTTTATGCAACTGCAATCAGCCTCAGATAGATCTCATGTTTCAGTTTCCCTCACATGGGGCAATATGGTGTAGTGTTTATTCTTACACCGCCACTACAACTATTTTACGGTTGAAGCAGAAATGGATCGGCTCAATCGGGGGAAAACCACGCTCACACAGAATAATTTCAACTATTTAGTTATGATTTATTATATTTATTAATATGACTTGCTAGCTTTGTCAAAAATATGAAATCACCTAACGTGCAAACAATTAAGCGACAGTAGGTTAAGATGTGAACGTGAGGTTAAAAGCCGCGGACATTTATCTGGTTTATAAATTATTCGGACTTACCAAAAAGCCGCCAAACAAAGATTTACTAGTTTTTTTGGGACATAAAATAAATTGAAACACCTAATCCTGGGCGGCGAAACGAAGGTGTATCGCAAGCCGTAAATTATATTATATGTGTAACGATTATATCTATAAAGACTAGCTGGCTCAGCAGACGGCGTTCAGCTCTTACTGGCAGATGGCGCGATTAGCTTTATGGTCCGAGAGGTCATGACGCATTTTTCATGAAGTGTTTGATGTATCAAGAAACTGTGTTGAAAAGTATCAGTCTCGCCTACCTGAGTACACCTGGTACGGGCATACAGGTAAGTCGCAAAAAATTCGACCAAAAAGTGTTTGATTTAAATAATCATAATGACTATCCGTTAGCTAAGTTAATAAAGAATTAAGAAAAAAATATAGCAGACACTTCTGAAGGGGTTGACATGGGGGCAAACTACTCCAAAGTTAATCTGCCATTTTTACAGCGTGTTTTTTATATATGTCGGAGAATTCAAGGGAGGATATTTTGTATCCACTGTTTTTTCTTGGCATCACTCTTGACGCAAAGCTTCAGTGGGGCCCCCATATATCCAAATTAGCATGTAGACTAAGTTCTACAGCCTATGCTTTAAAAAAGATTAGAGGTCTCACTAGTGTCGAGACAGCTAGATTAGTTTATTTTAGTTATTTCCATAGCATAATGTCTTATGGGATTTTGCTATGGGGAAATGCGGCTGATTCAGAAACTATTTTTGTTTTACGGAAGAGGGCCATTAGAGCTATTTACAATCTAAAACCGAAAGAGTCTCTTAGAGATAAATTTAAAGAAATAAATATATTAACTTTGGCCTCTCAGTATATTTACGAAAATTTAATGTATGTTCACAAAAACAAAGATAGTTTTAGTAAAAAAAGTGATATACATTATGTAAACACTAGGAACAAACACAAGCTAGTGATGCCAGTTTCTCGACTCCACAGAGTCAGTAATTCATTCTTGGGGCAATGTATACGCTATTACAACAAGATCCCGGAAATTGTACAGGTTCTCTCAATTACCAAGTTTAAATGTTTTATTAAACTGAAACTGTATACAAAAGGGTTATTATAGTATAAATGAATACATGGTTGATAATAACCCCTGGGAATGAGGTGGTCGCTTCCAAGCAGTTTCTAAAATAAATTTTGTAAATAGTTCGTAATCATTTATATTGTAAAATTTATTTTTAAAAAAAAGTCCCGCTGGGTTTCTTGCTGGTTCTTCCCAGGACAGAGGGTTTTTTTTTCGAACCAGTGGTAAAGTAAAAAACGACTCATTAAGAATTACTCATGTAATGTATATTGAATAAAAAATTATTCTATTCTATTCTATTAAAACATTGGCACAAAAAGGCAGACAGTTCTCCGGGGGTTATTAATTTAAAAATATTTAAATAAGTCTGATCTACTTACTGGTTACACGTTTTACCACTGGCGTGTATGTAGTGGCGGGTAAGAATACTCACTACCCCATATCTTCCCGTGGGTATCGTAAAAGGCGACAGAGGGAACCTGAGACAGAAGATGGGCAGCAGCATCTTTCTGATAACAGCAAAATAACAATAAAAAAACTGCGGTTGCCAACCCGCTCGCCAAGCGTGGCAACTATGGTAATATACCCCCCATGAAAGTAACCAAGAGACGGCCCCCAGTCCCCGGCGGCCCCGCTATTCCTGGTTACGGTGGCGACCATGGTAACGGCGGGGCAGGGGGTGCTAAGAATCTCCGGTGGAGGTTCGGTTGCCACCTACGACGACTCGACCTGGCAACTTATAACGCACGCACCCTGAGGACTGACGAGAAGATCCTGGAACTGGAAGAAGAGATAGACAAGTTGCGCTGGAATGTCATAGGATTATCCGAAGTCCGAAGAAAGGGGGAGGACATGGTAATCCTCGAATCCGGCAATTTGTTCTATCACCGGGAGGGTGACCATCTGTCACAAGGAGGTTTCGGATTTATCGTCCACAAGTCTCGTTAACAACGTTGTAAAGATTGGGAGTGTGTCGACGAGGGTTGCGTACCTTATACTCGGAATCACTAAACGGTATTCGCTGAAGGTCATACAGATTTACGCACCAGCCGCAGCACACCCCGATGAGGAGGTGTAGGAAATGTATGACGATATCTCTAGAGCCATGCATTCCTCCAAAACCCACTATACGGTGTTAATGGGATACTTCAACGCAAAACTAAGCACAAGAGAGAACGGGGATCTAATAGTAGGTAATTTCGGAATAGGGCAACGGAACCCAAGGGGCCAGCAGCTGGCCGACTTCATGGAGAAAGAGGGACTCTTTATGATGAACTCTTTCTTCCAGAAGCGGCCCCACAGGAGGTGGACCTAGTCGAGCCCCGACGGTTCCACAAAAAATGAGATTGACTTCATTATGACGACCAGACGACAACTGTTTAGTGATGTCTCAGTGATCGCGAGGGTTAAAACCGGCAGCGATCAACTAATGGTGGGAGGCACACTGAACTTAAACGTTAAGTTGGAGAGGTCACATCTAATGAAGTCAACGCTCCGTCCCCCTCGTGCTCTAATCCAAAGTCCCGAAACCTTTCAGCTCGAGTTACGAAACCGTTTTCAGTGCCTAGAAGATTGCAATGCAGTGGATGATATGAATGACAAGCTCGTGGAAACTGTCCATGCGGTCGGAGCTAAGTTTTGTAAGACCCGCCGGAGGAGAACTATCCGATCACACTCGTAATCTCATGGCTGTTAGACAGAATATGAAGCTGCAGTCTTCAGTAGATTTGACAGCATACAGGCAACTGAACAGACAGATCTCGAAATGCATGCGGCGGGACTTAGGCAACTTTAATACTGCTCGTATTGTAGTACTGTCGTATTAAAGAAGCGATCGGGCGGCACCAGGGCTCCAAAGTGTTTGCTAGAGATCTGTCTGCCAGAAATAGTACACACATATTATTGAGGGGACTGATACTTTTCAACAAAGTTTCATGATGCATCAAACACTTCATGAAAAATGCGTCATGACCTCTCCGACATTACTATGAACACACCTTGGACTTTGGTTTTCGAACTAAACGTAATTTTCTTTTAAGCCATTCTAATATATAGAATTTATTTATAGGTGGAGAGCTATTCGCATGCCATTAATACGTCAGTTTATCTGTTTGTCTGTCCGGGATGGCTCAACCTATTGTAATGAAACTTTACGAACAAATAGAAAGCAATGCTGGGTACGATATATAATATATTTTACCCGAAAAAATTTCGGAGATTTTTTTTCTAGAAATCTAAAAATATATAAAATATATAGTCATTGATTATTATCTTAAATCTAAATAAGTTCACATTAAAGTATATAATATAGGCGGTTCGCTAGTAACAAGTAGATTGATTAATTTAATGTTAATAACTTGGATTTAAATGGCACTAAAACCAAATGTATGATATTCATGACGAAATCTCATCAAACATTTAAATAATAATGTAATATTAAATGGGGAGGAAATGAGTCTCGTCGATACACCACCATTTTTCTTGGAATAAAACTAGATGCGAAGTTTCAATGGAGCCCCCATATATCAAAATTAGCAAGCAGACTTTAGTTCTGCAGCATATGCTGTAAAAAAGATTAGAAATATTACCAGTGTGAAAAAGAAGCATAAACTTTGCAATTTGCAACACAATTAAAGAAGCAAATCATAACTCGGGGTGTTGTGTATTATATTATGAGGTAAACTTACCTTCAGCCTTGAAGTCAAATCCTATTATTTTCATTGTAAACCCAGATGGCAAAGTTGACACAAAGTGAGGTTAACTTTGCCATTTTCTATTTTTGAGTATTTTGTCTATTTAATGTTAGTATTATAGCAGCATATGCTGTAAAAAAGATTAGAAATATTACCAGTGTGAAAAAGAAGCATAAACTTTGCAATTTGCAACACAATTAAAGAAGCAAATCATAACTCGGGGTGTTGTGTATTATATTATGAGGTAAACTTACCTTCAGCCTTGAAGTCAAATCCTATTATTTTCATTGTAAACCCAGATGGCAAAGTTGACACAAAGTGAGGTTAACTTTGCCATTTTCTATTTTTGAGTATTTTGTCTATTTAATGTTAGTATTTGTTCAAATTATCAATAAATACCTATTCTATGAAGAATATAATGTCACATTTAACATTGACGGCCAGTCTCACAGTCCATTTTTGTTAAACTTTTAAGTCCTTCCAAAAATGGCAAAGTTGCCAGGTTTCACGCTACACAAAAATAAAAGTAGTTATACAAAAATAAGTTATATTCATTATGTAAATACTAGGAACAGGCACTAGCTAGTAGTACCAGTTACTTGACCCCACCGAGTCCGTAATTCATTCTTGGGGCGATGTATACGCTTTTACAACAAAATTCCTTGAAAATATACAAAATTTGATCGGCACAAAGTTCAAAAACTTTATTAACAAAGTTTGTGTGAAAAGGGTTATTATAATATTAAGGAATAAGGTGATTGCTACCAAACTATTTCTTATTTGTTTTGTGTGATTAATTCTGTAACATATGTGCATGACTGTAAGCTGTTATTAAAAAAAAGTCCCGCTGGGTTTCTTGCTGGTTCTTCCTAGGACAGAGGTTTTTTTCGAACCAGTGATAATTAAACAAAAGAGTGACTTTCAATAAGTATTATCTATAATAAATTAAATAAAAAAGTTCCTGTGTCTGTTTCAAGTAATGTGTGAATAATATTAACAAATTTCTTGTATTGATTAATTGAAGAAGCATTAAATCACGGCTTTAAAAAGTTTAGCGATTCTCGGACAGTAGGTTCAACAAAAAGGATATCAAAAAAGAATGTGCCAATAGTTTCGACAAATATTACATTAATTACAAAAACCTAATGAAAGGCTTAAATTAATTTTTACTTTTTTTGTTCTAAACGGCAATTTTATAGGTAAAGACCTAACCTTATACCTAGTACTAGGCGACGGAGCTTTGCTCAGCGTTAGAAAATTTGTAAAGTAAAATATTATGTGATAAATACAATATCTCTTAGTGCCGTTTTCGAGAATCCATAAGTGTATGTTATATATAGATTTATTTTAATTATTCAAAAGGTATTAAATAGATTTGATATAATATCGATACCAAATTGATTTTCTGTAAAAATACCGTAGTGAATCAATTTTCGACCAAAGATTTGATCTCACGGAAGCGTAAGCGTACGTACGTGTAAAACCACAAAATGTACGTCCGATGCGTCAGACCGAAACTCTTGCCATTGGAAATTTTATCAAAGTCGTTATAGACGTATTTGAAAATTATTTATGACCGGTCATTGTTTGTCACCGGTTTTCTTCATTTCTGTCAATCCAGCTAAATGTCAATCAATGCTTGCTGGCAGCTCAAGAATGCTGGCAAAAATGACGTCAGTTGCTTGCCACCTCGTATTTTATAATGATAATTTGATCTCATTCTCTGACTGGGTAAAAAACCTAGATAAGACGTTGAATTGGGAAAAACAAGTCACTGAGGTCAGCCGAAAAGTCACTGCTGCGTTAAGATCGCTCTACCGTCTGAAAAACTATCTCCCATACAAAACTAAGCATAATATGCTTGCTCAAACACTCATCTTGCCTGTCATTAATTATGCAGATGCTTGTTACTCAGACTTGAACCTAAATCTTCTCAATAATCTTGAGCGACTTCATAATAACTGCATCAGACTTATTTTCGGCCTTCGAAAATATGACCACGTCTCTCAATTTCGTATTCGCCTTGAATGGCTAACTATCCGAGAAAGACGCACTTCCAGAATATTGTCTGTTCTCTACTATATTTTAAATGATTTGTCCTCCCCTTCCTACCTTAAAGAAAAATTTCAATACCTTTCCTCCAAACACGATAAGGTACTTCGCTCTTCAACTAATCTGTAGATTTCAGTTCCACTCCATTTTACTGGCTTTATCGGCAATTCTTTTACAGTTCAGGCTACACTACTCTGGAACTCTTTACCTGAAGACATTAGGAAAGCACCAAATAAGATAGCCTTCAAAATATTGGTCCGGGAACATCCTTCGAAAGCAATGTCAATACTGCTACCTTTATCCAGACATTATGTATGTATTAGTGTGTGTGTATATGTATATAATATATTAAGAATAATGGTTATATTTGGATTATTATCGTTATGTTTGTATTCCTATGCATTTGTGTAATTTATAAGCCTTGTTTTAATATGTGTTATATCTATATAAATTTATTATATTTAGTTATTTAAGTCACCTGCCACTAATTTCTCACGCATTGACTGACAGATAATGCTAACTGGTTTTAAGCCCGCGCTTTGTAACATTTATAGTTAGAACAATAAAGCTTTTAAATAAATAAATAAAAATAAATATTCTCCGTATTCCTCGGGTTGACGCTATAATTAATTGATATAAAATGCTAAAAAAAAGCGACTTAAACTCCGGATTAGGAATTATGTATTTTTTATTTTATAGCTGAAAAATTTAAGTTATGTGCGTCGTGAGTATTTTGGTCTTAGATAGTATTTAATTTTTTTCAAGCATACATTCTAAAATAAAACGGTGTTCATTAAGGGCCGATTTTTCAATCCCCGGGGAAAATTTAATTAAAGGATTAAATATAAAATAATTATAGTTGTATGAGTAAAATAGTCCAATTGTTTCACTTTTCTATTCAGTCAGGTAATAATTTACTTGATGGATAACATTTAACTGACGATTGAAAAATCAGCCCTTAAATATAACATTATATATTTTAAAGACCCGGTCGCCGAATTGCCGTCAAATACGCAATCGCGGTCCACTTTATTGATTTTAATGTTATGATTCGAAAAATGAGTGCAGTTGCATCACGCATAGGAGAGGTAAGGGGTGTGGGGGGGGGGAATTGTTAGTCGCGCGCACCATCCAGCCTAAGCCCAGGGGCTGCCTAGAATCTGGGCTTTTAGTGCTAGGTCATACGGGCATCTGAATCCAATCCGGTCAGTCGATTTGACTGAATTTAATAATTCGCGACTCGCTAACAGTGAAAACGGTTACCTGCTGTCATTTACGAGTTTTTAGATTTTGTTTGAACTTTGTCTTATTTGACAATATGATTGTACATTTGATTCTTCAGTATTTACTCAAAAACAAGTTATTACTTTGTATGGATAAATCTTTCAGGTTTAAGATTCTCTCCATTAATCTCATAGTATATATAAAAATATTTTACTCCATATCATTCGATAAATGGTTTCCTGTGAATTGGCGCCGTGTGTTGATTTCTTGTAGTATTTTTCGCGGTTAAAGTTACTCTAAGTTAAACTATCCCCCCCCCCCCTCCGCTCCCCTTTTTAATTTTTGGAGATCATGTACTTGAGTTTAGAGGCTTTCGCGCCGTTTAGCAGAAACATTGTAACTAAGCACTTAAGAAACTTTGTAACTTTTTCATTTTACGTCCTTAGTAGCTTTTTTTTGCGAAATGAAGATCTACTGCAAGGTACGTATTCGTCAACTTATTTATGTCTATATTCGTCATTCACTTTAATCATCAAAACAGTCAAATAAGAAAAAAGAAAACGCGAGCTAATATGCATTTCTTGAGAGATTCCGTGATTCTGCTAGGTTAATGGGTAGATTAATGAGCACGGAGCCGACAATGTTGAAATTGCTTACATATATTTTTCTGGATGAAATTTTTTGCCATTTTCAAATCCTCGTCGGTGCGTCAGCTGTACACAAAAATACATATTCCCTTTTACACCGCATCCTTAACATTTTTTCGTTCATTACAGGCCATTGCTTGGCAGCTTGGCAGACGGATTGGCAAACGCATTTTTTTATAATTTTGGGTTGTACCAGGAAGATGCTGCTATCCATCTCTTGTTTAAGTTACCCTCTGTCGCTTTTTACGAAAGTCACTGAATGATATGTTTACTGATTTTTTAAAGTTGCAACTATACTCTACAATGTTCTTTATAGTACTCACAAAAATAATTTAATAGAGATAAGAAAATTAACAAGATAAAATATATAAGTATATGCAACAATATTCATATAGGTACCAGACAACCCACAAAAAGAAAACAAGGAGACAGATTAGGGAGAGCGATAAGGTTCACATGTTTATACATATGTAGATCTAAAAATATGATCATACCATATGACTACAGACTAAATGATATATCGGTGGCCTTAAAAGGTTAGGAAGAAGGAGGACTTTACTCGCCATCGCAATCCACTTTCTTAACGTAAGTTGTGTGTAATGTAAATAAATTTAATTTATCTACAGTTATGCAAGCGGCGGATGACGAAACGAAACAGGCGTGTCCGTCGGATGGTAGCGGTAATTTGCTGCTGGACTGCCCTCATGCTACTTTATATTTACATTTTCCACATGAAAGAGAATTAAAGGTAACTTAGTTCCACGGTTCTGCTTAGCAGGTCCATATTTTATTCGTTTATTTATTTTTTGATGCAAAATTTTCGATTTTCAATTACTATATATGGCTAAACCTATCATTTTGGCATCCATCTTTATAATTAAATACTGTAATGAACTTATATATTTTTTTTTCATGGCAAAGCTAAATATGATTGTGGGTCCGCCAGAATTCCGTGATCATTCGTTATCATTTATATGATTTTCCATAGGGCTGGAGGTATATGATAAAACTGGCAGCACACAACAATGGCGCTCACATTCACCACCAACAACTGACAAAAGAGGACATCCCTACTGTTGTGGACAAGTGTATAAGCTTCATTTACGCGCATGGTAGGTACTTTGATCTTAACCGACACGGCTCTATGTATGTTATAATTATTTATAAATTTCAGCAGTGGACTTTAATAGGACGTAATAGATGAAATATAGAGACATTTATTATTGCTAAATATTGTTTTATAAAATCTTCTCTATTATAAGCAGCTTGTAACAGTTTATTGCTGTACTTGAGTCTCTCCAATTTTTTAAGAATATTTGCCGTTAGCGCCGTTTGATCGCATTTGCCGATTCTCCCCATCGCCGGTCTATACACATACATCTAGCATAGCACGTTACACATTATACACACATTCATACATAAGAGATACCGACGTCTTTCGCAGGTCAAGACATCTTTATATTTCCCATAGTTGCCTCTTAAAACACCCACAGTACGAAATTTGGTAATGGTAATATTTAACAATTTTTTCTCAGATGTAAAAATATTAGTATATAAACAACAGTTCTAGAGGCTATCTCACAGGTTGACCAGGAAGCAGATGTCTTTGAAGAGAGAAGGCAAAGAGGGCTGGAATGGAGCCGGGAAAAGAACTATTTGTTTGCGCTTCCTTTCTCCTCTCCTTCTCCTATGGTCTGCTTTGTTACTGTACTTTACGTGGTGGTGGGCAGATTATTATCTGCGGTAGCGGCGAAACGTTTAATATTTATATTAAAACAATAAAAACAATGTATACGAGTATTTTTTTTATTTGACCACTCCGTGGCTTAGCAATGAGCTACTGCGCTGGGGGCCGCGGGTTCGAATCCCGCACAGAACATGTATTTTTATGGCCTACTAATAATTGTACCGGGTCGTGATGTTTGTCCTTGTTCAATTTATGTTTATAAACTGCCTCCACAATATAGGAGATAATCCTAGTGTGAGGGTAACGTTTTTAAAAAAAGAACAAAAAAATAATTCTTGTTTGTGTTAAGTTTAAGTTAGAATTTAGTAGGTACGCATTTATTTCACCTTCAAAGTTTACTAGTTTAACTACAGACCTCTGGGTAAGTAAAATATTAAGTCAGATAGTAAGTAATTCATTTGATAATTGATAATTTAGTAGCTCGTATACAATCGCTAAGAGGTTATATAAAGCATACATGTAATGCTATTTTTTATTTCTAAAATAATAAATAAAATAATTAATGATAGTGTAAAAGTTTAATCGGTATACTTAGTTTTTCCATTCATTAAAAATCACTTATTAATGTCGTTTAGCCATCCTCATGGCAATGATATGCTTGGTCTCTCTTGCTTGTCGCCATAACATAATGTTGCTTGTGAAATTTGTTAATTTTTATATTTAGGATTATTTTTGTGCTATTTAATGCAGCTTCTGTCATAATTTAGCATTTAAAATAAATATATTAATGCTTGTAAAGGTATAAATAAATAACTTCCTTAAATTTTATTTTGAAACTCACTATTTTCAAAGCTACATTTCCTACAGTTTTTACTTGTCTTTGTTTAACAGAAGTAATTCCTTAACGATTGTTATAAAAATTCAGTTTTCATTCGTAAAAAAATTTTTGCTCTAGCTATCTGAAATTTCTTTAACGATCTCCAAATTGCAGATCTATAGTGTAGTGGCTGCACTTACGCTATTTTTTCCATAATTTAGATAATGCTTCATTTTTAAATTGTATGTCAAGACAATTATGGGGACGTAAAAAGGAAACAAGGTGCTATTTGAATATTATTTAACTGAATTATTCTTCATTTCTCTTACAGAACGCGATATGCACGCCTTTTCATATACAGATATGTAATTTTTTACTACAAACTCCACTTATTTTAGTTGAAACTCCTAATGTTAGCATTCATATAAATGACTGGAGCATGCTTTTAACGCAGGTAGCTTATCAGAGGGCATTTACCGTCGTGCGGGAAGTAGTGTCGTGCTTACCGAGTTGCTGGCACGATTCCGTCGGGACGCATGGTCCGTGCAACTGAGTCCTGGTCAGCATTCCGAGCACGATGTCGCCGGGGTGCTCAAGCGATTCTTTCGTGATCTGCCCGAATCTCTTGTGCCACAAGATCGTCATCAAGCACTTATATCTGCCCTAGGTATTTACTCATCTTTCTTCTTACACTTATATGATAATTGATGATAGTTTTAATTATAATGTCTTCAAGGCAAGAGTGGATAGGCTTTTGTTAAGCTAAGTGAGTGCACTCTACCTTATACCATTAACCATCAGACGGGATACTAGCGAAGCACTGGTTTAGAATAGTTAGAAAATACGCATAGTTATGAGTCTGTTGTCAGGGCTGGCGGAAAAATGGACAAAGACACTAAGTAGTCTTTTGATCACAATATGTTTTTTTTAATTCTCCCGCTTTAGCACTCTAATTTGCTCGACGACGTTTTCATGTCTGCACGCGGTACATGACATATAATATATATATATATATATAGAAAGTGAAACAATTGAATTATTTTATTCATACAACTATGATTTTTATTTTATATGTTGTGTTTATCTTCTGAATAAGTTTTTTCCGTCAAATAATTGAAATATCAGCCGTCAGACGAATTTGCAATAAGCTTATATTTTGTCCAACAACGTTACCTTAATTAATCCATCCTTAAGAGCTCATCAAATTGGTTGGTTGCATAATTGCATTCATCTAATTATGTTCCTAAGTGTATTCGACTCTACTGGTTTTGCAAATTTAATTTTTCGTCTTATATAGATATCAAAGACGAAGCAGCCCGTCACGCGGAATACCGACGCACACTTAACTCGCTGGGAGTAGTGGCACGTAACACGGCACGAAAATTATTCGCACATCTCCACTTCCTCCAGAGCATGTCTCACGCCAACAAGATGAGTGCGGAAAATCTTGCCTCAGTATGGGCGCCCACCATCATGCCTGCTGCTTTGGTACGTATGTTTTCTATTTCCGAAAATTGTAAAACTTACTTCTCTTCACCGCCACATATTCCCTTTCCCGATTATATTTCAAAATTGTCACTTAACATAGGCTGCACTAAAAGTATCGGGAATGGAATATTTCCACTGTTCCTGTCATATTAAAATCTTTTTAATTGAAAACTCCTTGGTTTTAAAAATCGAATACCATTTATTTATTTAAAAAAAGATTCTCGATCTTGTCACAAGGTTTTGTCAAACTTGTTTAGTCGTTGAGAAAATGGAATTGACTCGAGAAAATTCAAGAGCGATGATTTATTATGACTTTCGAAGTGGTTTAATAGAAAAACAGTGTGTTGACCGGATGATTTCTGCATTTGGTGATGAAGCCCCATCCAAAACCACAATTTGTCGCTGGTTTGCTGAATTTCAACGTGGACGTGTCAAGCTCAGTGATGATCCCTGTCAAGGTCGTCCAAAATCTGCAGTCACCCAAGAAAACGTTGATGCTATGCGTAAGCTGATTGAGGAAGATCGACATGTGACATACCGCGAAATTCAGGCAACCTTAGACATTGGCATGAGTCAAATACAAATAATATTGCATGAACAATTAGGTGTAAAAAAGTTTTCTCGATGGATACCGCATTCGCTTTGTGAAGAGCAAAAAGCGGCTCGCGTTACTTGGTGCGTCAGAACTCTCGAAAGATTCCACGCAGGATCCTCAAATGCTGTATACAACATCGTATCAGGTTATGAATCCTGGATATATGCGTACGAACCCGAAACAAAAAACCAGTCACGAGTTTGGGTGTTCGAAAATGAGTTAAAGCCAACAAAAATTGTTCGTTCACGGAGTGTTGCAAAAAAAATGGTGGCCACGTTTGTCTCCAAAACCGGCCATGTTACGACTATTCCTCTTGAGGGACAAAGAACGGTTGATGCAGAATGGTATGCTAGCATTTGTTTGCCACAGGTCGTTTCTGAACTCCGTAAAGAGAACTGCAACCGCCGCATCATCCTCCATCACGACAATGCGAGTTCTCACACCGCACACAGAACAAAAGAGTTTTTAGAGCAAGAAAACATAGAATTATTAGACCATCCGCCGTACAGCCCCGACCTAAGCCCTAATGATTTCTATACTTTCCTAAAATAAAGAATAAATTGCGTGGACAGAGATTTTCATCACCTGAAGAAGCTGTGGACGCCTACAAAACGGCCATTTTGGAGACCCCAACTTCCGAATGGAATGGTTGCTTCAATGATTGGTTCCATCGTATGGAAAAATGTGTCAAATTTCTCGGAGAATACTTCGAAAAGCAATAAATACATTTTTAAATAGTAATGTTGTGTTACTTCCTTGATTCCCGAAATTTTCTGTGCCGCCCTCGTAAAGCACACCGCTTTAATTGGAAAATCAAAAAAGGTGGAAGAAGATAAAATCAAATTATATTGTTGTGCTCCACCATTCATGACTGGTACATGGTGACTACTAGCGCCTTCTAGTATCGAGTAGCAGAACTAGGAGAGTCACGATCCTTCTATAAATTTCTATGGAAAATCTTTCTAGAACTATCGACACCTAGTCAATCGGGACCGGTATGTACTCGAACATTCTAGATGTTTCTACAGTAGAAGTATAAGTGAGCCCCTAGAGTATAGACCGCGACCGGAGAGAGTGTTGAGTTGGCGATACAAGCGAATACTTCGAAGCGATACGACCGCGAACTAAAGTGATCAGTAGTACAATTGTGTTTTGTTATTAGTGTGGTTTTAAGTTGTAATTAAAGTGTCAATTTAGGTAATTCATTAGGCAGTTTTTAATTGTCTCGAAACCCCAAGCTGGTAATAATATGATGAATATAATAATTTATATATTGTGATGTTACCTATCCATTTGCTCTCTGAAATTATAACGTCAATTGACCTTTTATATTATTAAAATCTCAAATATTAACACATTAAATACATGCAAATACCCAAATGTATGCTATCGTGTTCGGCCACGAGGCTTATATGAACGATTTGATCGTCCCTGTCGGCAGCCAGCGCGTCGGCTGCCATGTCGACGGCGTATGTGTTAACAATCTGAGTTAAGCTAACGGCATGGTTTTGCTGTCGATCTGTGGTCTAAGGAAACTGATACGCATTTGTGAGGAGTATGCGAGTGGACACGGCCTAAAGCGCAATGTGAAGAAAAGTCTTCAAGGCAGGTACCAAGTGTCCCCAGGATTTACCACCGGTATTACTGAATAGTGTGCCCCTAGAGGTTGTCAAACAATTTAAATACCTGGGACACATAATAACTAATGACCTCAAGGACAATGCGGAGATTGAGCTGTAGCGGAGAGCGTTGTCCATTAGAGCAAATATGATAGGAGGTAAAAATTACACTATTAAGAGCTTATTGTACACTACTCTAATACATCCATCCTGCGGACAGACTAATAAACGAAGTTACAACGATCTCCGCATCGTGTACAATAACGCTTTCAGGGTGATCTTGGGGCTGTCCCGTTTCTGCAGTGCCTCTGGCATGTTTGCGGTGGCGCGTACTGCCTGCTTCCACGCAACCATGCGTAAACGGTGCGCGTCACTGGTACGTAGAGTACGGACCAGCTCCAATATTATTCTGAAAATGATAAGAAACAGATTGGACTGTCCTCTCCTCCAGCATTGTTGCGACAGACATGTCCCAGTAATTGTGCGAGTGAGAAGGTACTAAATAATAACTATGTGTACCTTGTATTTATTGTATTTTAATGACTTATTATTATTTATTATTTGTCAATCAAACAATGTATTTTAATGATATGTATCTTATGTTATCTGAAATAAAGTAACTTGAAAAAAATTAAAAAAAATGTTAAGGCTAAACACAAGTGTGGTGGAGCTATTCGTCCTTATCCAGTTTATTTACACCAATATGGCTAATAACACAAATTATGGACATTATAGGATGTGCAGTTACATAATTTTTTTATTTGCAACAATTAAATGGTAAAAGTGATTTCAAAAGATTAAGTCACAATTTGCCATTTTCATTTCTCCTAGACAGACGCTATGTTATTACTGTAAAAGATTGTCGCGTCTGCTTTCCGTCGAAATACGGATTCAGGATATTCGATTGAATGGCGTTTGATGGGCTATGAGGGTTGTGGAGTGGGGAGAAGGTGGGGTGACGCTACGGCGACTAATTTAAGTTATTGATTTATGTCGTTTAAAATGAAATAGCATTGCGTTCTTCGTGATCAAACGAAATCGTGTCTGACTTGTTTCTAAAATTGAGTTTATCTAGTTCAATTTTCTTCAAGAAATTTTGCGCAACAAAACGGGATTAATCGAGAGAAATTCGCAATAAGAAATGAATTATCCGCTTCACATACGTGTTATAAAACATCTTATAGATTATTGTTGTAGAGATCTGTAACTGAAACTTTAAATTTATTTACACAGAAAAGAGCTATTCGTGTCTTATACAAGAACTTTATATTATGAAATAAAATCCTACTAATATACCCGTTTTGCCTTTGCATAAATTCAAGATGCTGGTATAAATCATTCTCATGCATTAAGGATATTATTAATTGGATGATTATCTAATAGATAAATTGAATTATGTAGGTATGACATAATTATGTCAAAAATTGATCACTATATAATTAATGATTAAACGAACTTACCTTAAGTGAAGTTTTATCATAATTATACGAGGTGCTTCGTCCGAACAGATTAGTAATTGGAACTTATTAAACAAATAGGATTCACCACTCGCACTATAATTGAGAATATTTTTATAACTCCTACTTTCCTTTTCTTCTTCCGGTCACGGGAGTGGAGAGAACCCCACTCCGCGTACCATGCATAGATTCTGCCCTCGATATGTCATTAAGTTTATAGCTGAATAAAAGCTATAGCTGAAAAAAAAGTGTATTTCCTAGAAAGTTGGGTACCAGAAGGGCAGAAGAGTAGAAGAAGAAAGAATCTCTTCGGGTGGAGCACGTCGTATAATTATGATAGAACTTCACTCGTAACTTCGTTTAATCATTAATTATACTTAGTGTTTCTTCCGAAGAGTTTAGTAACTGGAACTTACTGAACACAGGTAGATATTGAGAGCGAGAACAGGAAATATCAAAATTCATATAAGGAGGGTAAAACTATTCTATATTTACTAGCCGTCAAAGATGTGATAAATACATGCTCGATATTATTTCTACTATATATTACAAATTTATCAGCTTACTATTGTATAGGCATATTTGTAATAACAAACAGGGAAAATTTTAAGTAAGAGTTAGCTTTGTTTACACTGAAAATTAATCGAGTTACCACAAACGATAAAAAAAAATACACAAAGGGGTGGTAATTTTAGAAATTTGACACGTCTGGAAAACTTTTATGACAATTAACATTTTAAATTCTGTATGAACCCATACATATAATATGCTTATGTGAACTTTTAGAATTAATCTATCTCTGATTATAAAGTCGATGTGAAATATTTTCTCCACAAAATAACTTCGTTCTAATGTTAGGTTAAAGTACCATGACGAATAGCGATACAAGAGAATAAAGATTACGTAATCATTAAATAAATAAAATATTATTTTAGCGGTATGCCCCTGCTTCGCACGGGTGATATCTGGATTTCACAACAGCGCTAACTCCTGGGTGCAACTATATAGGCACCTTCGCGTAAGAGTAAGCAATAAGTTGACAAAGTTTTAGCGCAATCTGATGAACGGTATGGCAACGCATAAAATACGAACAAACAAATATTGTTTTTTATATATTAGATTTCATTAGTTACAGACTACACTTGCGAATGTTAACTTATCACCGTTGTTAAGATATTCCTATTATAAAATTTGTAAAAGGTTGTCAAAGCACTAGTCTATCCGGCCGTCTTACTTACTAATCAGCGTTCACCCTGGAGATACTGGCGCGCGATGTGGCGGCGTGTCGCGTACTTTGTTCTTTAGTGGACATATCAAACCCATATATTT